AAAAACAGTAGGAAATATCCGAAGTCTTACTGACAGCCATTGATTGAACAGTGGGTCAGGGTAAAAGTCAACAATCATTTTCTTTCACATTTTCAAATGAATCATTACCATTCCTGCTCTGTTTATCTCGCACATCTACACTGCACTCCAGTAGGTCCTTTCCACTATCTCACTATCCGTGTAACCTTGAGGTACTGCGTATGACAACCGTTTAAAAGCGTATTAATCACTTTCTCCATATAAATCATCTGTAATGTAGTGTATACCTTTTCGCGGATGATATGTGCACCATATGAAGCAAAATACCAAAGAGTGACGAGAATAATCCGTACCTTGGTTGAAGGTGACAAGAAACTTTTGGTTAAATGATATCAATTTTATTGTTAGCAGAGAGGAAACTAGAGGAATGAAAAAGTTTTAGTTTAAATCATTTAGAAAAGATGAGTTCGAGAGCACTATATTTTGATCTTCTGACGTTCCCAGTTGATGCTGTTGTAGGTGATATTTTTAGGATCAGGAGATTGTTCTCGAGCCAAACGGGTCTGCGATAGAAACGAAATCATGTTAGTGATATTTACAATATGTGGATTGCACCCTTTGTTTGAAAAATATTGCGTTTCTGGTGTTTGCTGTCTCAGCTGTTAACAAGAATGTGTGTTCTATCAACCCACAAAATAGATCTACTGTAAAAAAAAACCTGGCAAATCCTTCATATAAAAGAATAGATCTTACGACAGTGGAAACTTTTGTCGGTTTTCTGTTGCTCACAGAATCGAATATCACTCCGTTGAAGGATTTTGTTCTGAAGCTGTCCGTGATGCGGTCTTCCTTGCCAGGTTAGCCAGGACTTGTTTCCGTTAGTCGAAAGTCAAGTTATAATTTGATCATCCACTGATCCCGATTACAATAGTCCTTTGATATTGGTTTCAGATGTTGAAATTCAGTTTACTGATTGTATTACAGTACCACTGTAGTGATGATTGAATTCTAGAATTTTATGGCCAAGTGCACTTCCGTCAGTAATTTCCATCAGTACTCAGGATATTAAAAGTATATTAGTTGACGGATTCTACTAGATGTTAATTGGTTTGATCTGAAGTGATACTGTGAAAATATGTAAATCTAAGATAGATAAACCGTTGTCCTTAGCCGAAACAGTTGGGATCAATATGGTGAATTCATTCATTAACAATTGTTAGCCTATGGCTAGTAACAAGAGATAATGGTCTAGCAAATTTGGAGTGAAACCACCAATTAACAGTACTGTCTACAGAGGCACAACTGGGGGAAACCATCCCGGCTGAGGAACACTTTCAACGAAAGTCAGTGGTGTTCGCTGTTGTTTCTACGGTTATCATCATTCACACGTTATACGTATAAAGTCAAACTAGTTTTAGGTTGTACACCATTCACAGCTAACTGCAAATCTCCCATTTCCACAGACTTTTCAGTTGGCCTTTCAAGAAGAAATATCATACTTCGTTTTCACTTTTGTCAGAGTTCGTATGCATGTGATAAGTCGGTCATTGCTACGTTGAAGTCATTAGCACACCGATCAACATGGTTATCTTTTGACAACGTTACCGGAGTTTAAATTCCAGCCATAACATCACTGACCATAGCTAACAAATGTGAACCCAGTATCCAGCTCTTTTTTTCGGAAAGAATTATCTGGAAAGTCTATGGATGGCAAGGATTCTACAGTTAACAACGAATGATGTTCAGCTTGAAAATGACCAAATCCCGAGCTACTGCCAAAATTCGGATGATTTTGACATTGAGCCCATTTCTTGGTAAAACCACGTAGTATGAATTCTACAGTTAACTCCAAGGGGAATCACTTGGTAAACTTGCTTATATCGGCACCAATAAGTATACTGAGCTGCCGGATTAGACAACCGTTAATTGTCGATCTTTAGTTGAACGCTAATTGAAGAATCACAAGATGAAATAACAAGGGTAAAAAGCAATACCCGACCGTCGGATCACCGACAATCCCTAGTGAATTCGCACCTAGTTCTGCGGCTCATTATCATCGTTGGTTTAATAGTTAATTAAAACCTCATGTTTACTGGTTTCATGTATTGCTATAACAAATCAATCTAGACCTGTTAACTGTTCAGGGCAAGTGTTCCACAGTTTGGGTAGACACTTCTCTCTGTGGTTGACCATAGATGTATGCAATGCGATTGTTACCAGACTAGTCTTAATTTGCCCATCCCAATAATCAAAAGCGTTTTTCTCAGACAGTTCAGAATGCTTAGAGATCTATCAGGTTTAACATCCACTTGTTAGCTGTTGTCATGGGATATAATGTAAGGCAGTACATTTCGAGTAGTTTGTTTCTTCATTTGCCACTGATCAATAACAAACATTTCTAGGTCCAATACAGTTGCTTTTGTGCAAATCTCATTAAGTATGGATTCATGTGATGGGGCTGAAATAATAATACTTCGAATAAAATAAGAAACAGTACAAATGAACTGTCAATGTGATTTAAGGGATTTTAGTCTGCTGATTTGGGTTGTTCACACAAATGGAACACCATTCATACTGGATTGCAGCTGTCACATTCCCAAAGACTTTCCAGCCAGCCTTTTTCGAAAAGAAGCACTAGACTCGAGGTTCGCTCTCATTAGAGCCCGTCAGTAGTGCATATCCTCGCCGCGGCCGGGAGTAGAACTTTGGTGGTCACGCTTTTATGACTCAACCGTGTTTACCACTGTATCATTGACTTCACTCTAGGCACGACTGAATTATCATTTGCGAACACTCAAGCACTTTCACTTGTGAGTAATGATCTGTTTGCCCGCTTGTCACGATAGAAAACACAGTTATTGTCCTGTGAACCCCAATCGATGGCTGTTCGACTAGGACTTCTCTGCTAATTGAAATCATTAACTTGTAAAACGATAGTTCATTTACTGATGAGTTGTAGGAGATTTTTTCATAATGTGGCAACAGCATTCATGTAAAAAGAATCAGCTACCAGAGTTCGTAGGCGAAGGCAATCGTACTAAAAAATAATTTTAGTCTGTTTAGGCTACGCATTGCGACCCAAATTTGCGGCCAAGTTCGTCTGTGTTTGGACAGAAGTAAAATTTACTCTATCTTCACAGTTAATCTTCAAACGGAACAGACTAGGCACATCCTCATTTATGTGGTCAGTGAACGTTCTAGACACATCCAATCAAGCAGTTGAGTTTCGGTCACCCCGAAGCGACAGGCTAGTTAAAGTAACTAACTCCGATGACAAGTGGTAATTAGTCAGAAGTATGGTAGCAGACGAAAGGAATCCGTCAAGACCTCATTAAATACGCTTAGTCCCGTAAAAAAATGTTCAGCTCTAGTGGCGGTAGTCTAATTGGTATGAAGTCATTTGGTGGAATGAACTGAAGTTGTAGTCGACTCATCGTAGAAAGCAAAAATATGAAAGTAGTAACCAGTGAAGTTTCTCTCTTCAAAAACGCAAATTGAAGACATTTAAGCTAACACTAACTTGGGTGACAACTTTGTACGGATTCACAAGTAGTTAATTTAAACATTTTTGGAATTCGTATGCAAAGAGAACGACGAATGACTTAATTCTTTAGGGGTGATGCTCAAAATCACGTCAGTGATGGTGTACACAGATCTATCAGCTATAAATAGGAATTGGAAGTGTGGAATAGGTCAAACATTCGTGTAGAACGGCTAGGATTTGAATCCCCACTGTGAACACACAGTCCAAGTTTCTTTTCAATGGAAACTTGTGATGTTAAAATATGATCGATTTGAACGTCCACGGACGTCCGTGTGGTGACAACACAGTCGTTAGTTTTTTCGAACTCAAATCTCAAACTGCAAACAATTACGCAAAACAGAATTAAGTACTAACAATATATTCAAAGAAAAGAAAATCCATGCACACAAGTTTTTTGATAGAAATTGATAGTACGAATACAAAACCTGGTAATCCCCCAAATGGGTAGTGGTGATCCTCTTACTCTAACTATCAACTAACCACACATATAATTGGTTTGAGACAGTCCTGTTGTTGTTATTCATTGGCGTTTACAGTAACAGTTAACTTAGACATGAGCTTAAAAAGTAACTAGCTTCAAGAAACAGTCCAAAATTTGATTTGTCTTTTGTTGGTAGAAAGAACGTAAAATCTGCCAAAGTCATTGTTTGGGAATCGTGGTATAAAAGTAATCTCGACGTAATTCTGTTGAAATAATTTTCCACTTAATCGCAGAAGATATGCCAAAAGTTTCATGCGGGGGATTTTACCCAACGTTATGGCATGTTCTTTGTTCTTTTGTTCAAAGGCATCGTGCTTCTTTAGAAAACTGTATATGATATAACTTTAAACACTGACCTATTCTGTAAACATATCGATTGATTTGAGCAGTTGCATTGTCTAGTCTGGTTCTAACAGTAATGTGGAGACACTAGTTTTACTGACCTATTGTCTGATTCAGGCCCTTCACTTAGCGTTGAATCAAGATCCCTTGATTTTATGGAGGAAGTCTCAGGGGAAGTTTCATATTTTTTTTTAGTGATTTGAAGACAATGATTTCCTAACTAGTGGTGAAGGACTACCAGTAGAGCCGTCAGGAATTCTGAATATGTATAAACCTTGACTACTATTAATTCAGTTGTCTGTGGTCACCAATTTCCAAACGTCTTCTGGTTTGTGACATGGGGTTTCATTTTAATACAATTTATCTAACTGACTTTTATGATAACGTGTTGAATGATGTCCACTTTTGCAATGGTGACGATTTTCCGTCCATTATGGAAGGAGGAATTAATCCAATGTTCAGAAGGGATCTATTTGCAAAAACTCTGGACTTCGGCTGGATCCGAATCAGCGACGGACACAATATGCTCAAACGCGGTAAATACTCCACCAGCTGTGCTACTAAGCCAAGCCAGATCAAAAATTTCACCTGTGTGCTTAGTTACACATCCAACCAACTGCGTCATATGGAATCTATCAAACAAGTTTCCGGCGTGGCTTCGTAGCTCAGCTGGTAGAGCATTTTTCATTTCTGGGGCATGTTGTTTCTGTCGCTGGTGCGAATCCGGCCGAAGTCCAGAGTTTTCGCAATTGGATCACTCCTAAATTATCACATTTACTGAACTACGTATCAGCAATACAATCTTATTATTGTTGGCCCCCTGTGCGGTTTCGTTATGAAAACATCTTTCAGAAATGCTATGAACCGTACAGGAATTTTGCATTTTTTGTTTCATTGTGTAGTAATCACTACAGCGACCATGTAAGCGTTTTAGTCAGAATTACACTTCCGGTAGGAGCAAAGAAATTTTGAAATGTCAATAACGGAAATCAACGTCGTTTAAGAGTAAACAGGCAAACATTTGAAAACGACCTGTAGATTTAGAATATACTGGAGATCATTCTGAAAAACATGTGATTCAAACCTATTTCGCGGCTATGCTGTGTTGCCGTAGATCACGATTTTTGTTGAAGTCGTATTGAACTAACCACCTTATAAGCAAGGAATGACAACTTCCCTGATCGAATTTGTGCTTTCAGCAAACGTATCTTTTGTAGGCAGTGCAAATCAATTAGTTTGATAACTGAGAACTATCTTCGCAGACATTTACACGTGTAGCTGTGTTATACCAACAGAACTGTGGTTGTCACTAGGGGGTTGGATAAGGACTACGGAAGAGTGTTTGTATACTGAAATGGAATGTTTGGCTGACAGATACATCTTGAATTGTGCAACCCGCTTGTCAGCCAGCAATTTCTTAGATGCTATGATCACATGTCATATACCTATGACAGGATGACATCTGCGAATAGTGGCTGAAAGGTATAGCGATTCATCGATAATATACATATATGTGAGCTTAAAATTCAAAACCTTTGGTCGAAATATGAAGCAGAAATTTGTTGGTCTTTGTACCGTAGTAGTTTTGTTATACTCTAGCAGTAGGATTCATGTAAGAAGAATTGGTTGCCGATGTTTTTAGGTGAAGACAACTGTACTAAGAAAAAACCGGACCTGAACCCACGTCATCAACACTGGAAGTTTGAATGTTTCCCGCATCACCCTGTTGCGGATTCTGATTAGCAGCCGTTTGGATCTAATGTAGAACAGCAGTTTCTTGTCCGGATCGTGTTGTTGGCTTATTGTTTTTCCAGCTGTTTTCATTTTAAGGACATCAGCGCTGTCATCTAAAGTTTTCACACATTTGGGACTTGGATTCCTGATAACCGTTTACCGACTTTTGACTTGTTTATGGTTGATAACGTGCTCGGTGATGGATTGGTTGTGTGATCATCACGGGTCACTCTTGAGTGTTAGTAACTGTATGTGGTTCGGGGCGGAAACTGCAATTCGGAATATAAAATCAACCATAATGTTGTTGCTAGTCGATATTGTTACAGACTCAGTCACTAGCCCTTAAGATAGCACATTTCGTGAGTCCATTTAAGCCTGCACTATTGATAACCAAGACCTTCTCATCAGGTCCATTTTATCTTATATATCCAAATGTATTACTCTTTTGTATTTATTAGGTATCGACGATTTGCCGGTAGATTGTAGGCAACTAAAAATTTCCCTCAAGTTTTATACCATGGATTGGTCCTTCCTGTGCTACAGCGAACAGCGTACGCATTTAGATGACGCAGCTTGTGTAACTCGGAAACAACACTACGTCATTCCGCATAGGTCTTAAGTCTGTACAACAGAAACAGCTGGCACCAGAATACACACTCGGCAAATTTCGATTTTCTGTAAAAAAAACCGTACTAGTGGAATGAATCAACACTCATTTTGAACGTTATCGAAAATTGTCTTTTGTTTTACAACAACCACATCTGAGTTCCCTCTTCTCTTCTCAACTGTTCAGTGCGAATCTAAGTAAGTCAACCTGTATCTTTCCGGTCACTTTTGCTTAGCAAAACAAAACACTAGCCATTGTGAATGCCGTTAAGTTTTTCCCAGAATTGTATGCTGGTGTTTGAATTTGATTTCTAGCTTTCCACACATGTGTACGACAGGAAGGAGATACAACTTCAACCGTTTATCCCACCCTACCCCCGCCATACGACCTGGCAGCAAACGGCGACAGACGTTGATGTAACTGATAACCTGCTGCCGCCCCACTGGTTCACCTCACTACCGTGTCCGAGCGCGGGAGCAAATGGGCTAGCCGTGACCGAATTGGGACGATCGGATTGACAGGTTAGCCGGTTACATTCTCAGAAGGGCACAACCATCAGGTCCAGAAACAGGATGAGTTCACATTACAGGCAGCCCTCACTTTAACGGCCCGAAAGGCACAGGTACATAGATCTAATCTTATGGATTAACTAGACAATGCTGGAACGCACTAAACTGTGGAATGATGTGCCTCACATGCTCGCACGGGTGACTGTTAGTTACAAAACGACTGCAAACTCTCTTCCACAATGAACATCTAGGAAAACTAAGCATGTAGCTTTGCTCACTAGATGGACGTAAAAAACGAACCCCCGTCTTCTGTCTTGATTTGACCTTCTGTTGAAAGTTCGCTTATGGTGTATTAAATCCGTAATAGATAGGCTCAAGTTTTCGTTGATCGATCCGATGGATGTTTCATCGAACTCAGTACGGTTAGAATAAGAGTTCTTGGCTTGCGAAGCGACATCAAATATACCGGTTGCACGATCAGTATTTCCAATCAGTCACTCAATCAAAATGTTTTTAGAAGCAATTTTGTTTATCTACCATTGGTCACTTATTACAAGTGAACTGTGTTGTAGTTGAAACGGCTGTCATTCTCCTTAGTAATCTCATCTGGAAGTTTTGCATAGGGGCACTAATCGTTCTAGCTGACGCCATACGTTTAGAGACAAAGGTCACATTCTGTACCTTAAGATGTATTGGGAACAATTTCACGTGTTCCGATAATCCAGTAGAGCAATCCTGTGGTAAATTGCGATATAACAGAAAGCTTTTCTAACATTTTCGTATATAAACAAACAGGTCGAAACTAGGTATGTTACACTGATGTAAAAGGACAGAGAGTAGAAACAGAACCATCACATTGCAATCAGCGCTTTGTGAGGAAAATCCTCCTCGAGCTTCGTAACCTATTTGGGTCAGCACAAACTGACTATACATTACTGCGGCATGACTGTGCTTACAAATATCGACTGAACAGGATTAAATGAAACAACCGGCGCTGCTTTGGTTCAAGTTCGTTTAGAGTGTATAGACTTGAACCAGCAAAAATTACTCACTGGTACCAGGATGAACTATGTAAATGTAGCATATTGAGTACTTCAATTCGCGTTCCATATGATACACTACACACTAGGATGTAACTTCTGACAGCGCTTGCTGATAAATGGTATTCAGCAGCCGTTGCTATTCATAATAGCACAGGATAAACCGAGAGCAATAAAGCGAGAAACATCGGGCACATATCATGAAGTTAGACAGGAAGTATACCCAGAAAGTTTCGTTGAATTGCATGGCACTATACGGTAAATTTTTGTCACACAACCCAAGTGAGTAGAAGGATAAACGTTTGTCAGGCAGATAGCTAAGCACTGGATATGCTCAGTGTAAAGCTTATGTCGAAATTGAAGTTTGGTTCAAGCTGTTAATTTACACAAGAAAATCAGAAAAAACTACCATAGAGCTCAAACATTAGAATAAAAGATTTCAATTTTAGTTGTATTCAACAGGCGTTGCCATCATGGTACTTAGGCAACTGCATCCTACCCAGTTATGACCAATCATAAGATTTGAAGTGAGCTTCTTGTGATCTTAACTAAGCATTATGCAGAATATCGGGTGGAATATTTGTCCACGAGAATCAGGGACTATCGCATGTCTTTAGGTCTCTTGCTAGCAACGGGTTATTAGTTATTTATCGATCTATTCCACAAGTCTGTCATTGCGCATTCAAGCATACATGTATATGTATAAGTAACAAATAATCATTGCGTTTGCGTTCAGTTCGACCATCCTTGAAACCGAATGTTTACATATTTATACACAATGTTAGCAATCATTAACAAGTAACTTACGAATGATCGAATTTATGTTTGATATGCAACAGCTTGCACTTACTTCATGAAACTGAACAAAAGTAGAGGCATTCGTATCACTGTAGTGCAATATAAATAATGCGGTTGTAGATGTGGGTTTTAAGAGATTGTGAGCTTACTGGTATAATTCAATTTATTATCAGAAATGCGAAAAAAATGATCTGTACTTAGTACTGACAAGTAATGTGGCAGACTTGATGATTTAGAAGAGAACCAATTACGTATGTTCCGGGTTTCGGCTGGATTCGAACCAATGACAGTAGTACAATTTCAACATACAACAGTGGCTTTGGTGGACTCCAGCGTGAAATGTTTGATAGCTTCTGCTTGAGCAGTCAAGCCTCCAGATTATTTAGAGGATTTCGTACGACACTGTGAATTGGGCAGGTAATTGGATACAAAATGTGATGTTTCTGAGTTCCTGGCGTTGCATTGTAGTTCACCTGGTACAGTACTTGCAGTGTCTGCACCTGCTGTTCCTACAGGTGATGTGAATCCAGCCGAAGCGCAGATTTTTCACAATTGGGTCTCTTTCAGACTTGCACCTATTCAATATGACTTTGAACCTGATTGTGTACTCATAGTTTGAGGACAACTTGCAATGGAATTTACTGATAAGGTTTCATTTCCGACTAGGAAGCTTCCTCAGATTGATTGGACCTGTTACGAAGTTAGGGGCTTTTGAAGGAGACAAATGGTCAGTCAGTACACTTGTCTGGAAGCAGCGAGTCATAGATGATGAATACAGAACAGTAAAACATTATGTTTGGGTTACTGTTTCTGGTAGACTGGGAGATATATGGAGATGACTGAAGCAAAATCCATATAATCACTTAGATAAGTCGTGTGTAAGGTGCACTCCTGTCTGAAAACTAGAGCGAGTATAAATTCCCAGCACATATTAAAGATTGGTCGATAATTTAAACAGTACCTCATCCAGCCATCGATGCTAGTCTATTAGATCGCTCCAAGAGACCAGAACCATCGTTTCTATCTACGACATCTTTTATCTTCACGA